CAGGTTGTTTTTTGTTCCTGCAGATAACCCCTGCATCATGTGAGTGAAGACATGGTGCTGGTTCTTCTTACGTGTTGTGCATTTTATATGACTAATAAAATAAAAATTGATGCTCCTGACTGCTTACTGTCTACGTTTTTTCCTCTCATGTCTGCTCTGAGCAATCATAAAAAGGTTACTTGTGCTGTAGCAGGGATTTAAGATCAAGGATTTTTTTAGCTTGTGGGAAGGCTCTTCCTTCCTGTCTGCATTCAAACCATATAATTTCTCTGTTACCAGCAGGATCAAGCTGTGAAAACCAATGGAAAAAGCTTCCTTTAACCTAAATGGTGCAAGGCCAAGCTTTTAGGCTCCTGTTTTGTGTGTCAAAGACTAATACTGCCATGGGAAGCGTAAGCAGCAATATCTTTCGTGCATAGTAACGGAAGACTATCCTTCTAAAAATTCCTCTACAGAGTGTTTTTGCAGAGCCGCCTCCACAGGGTTCTCCATCTGTTTTCACATGGAAATTAGTAACAAATTGTTTGGCTAATAAGCTGCTCCCAGCTATCTCTGAAATGTGACCATTTCTTTTCCTTCCCTCCTACGGACCGTTACTAGATTCCTGCTTGCCCCTGTGCTCCCAACATGGGAGACATCACTAGTATTAGATGCACAAAAATTGTCATGCTTCAGCTCCACAGCAAGGCTTTTAAGGAGTGAAGATCGCGGTGTATGTCTGAAAGAGTTGGTGCTGTGGACAGCTGTGTGGTGCTGAGGGCTGGTCTTGTTCTTACAGGACATAAAAGGAAGAGAGAAAAAATAAGCTTTGTGAATGCTACTGTGATTTCTGCAAGAGCCCATTTTTTGTTTTCATCTACAGAGAAAATATTCCCAGGAAAAATAGGACTGTGGCTTGAACCCGTTTGATTCACCAGCATCCCTGTGTGACGGGGGGCTGATGGTGGTGTTTCAAACTGCTGTGTTTGGGTCTGGACAAGGTGGCAGAGGGTATTCCCAACTGCTTCATTGACAGACACAGATGAGAAGAGAATAAACATCTACGGTGAAAGCAGGCTTAATATCAGAAGGAATCTTTGTGATCTTTCAATGTGACTGCTCCCTAATACAAGCCAGAGGACTTCTCCACATTAATACCTCTTCTGCTGAAATATTAGTTACCAAACTGCTGGCAAGATACCCAATCCGTATTTGGAAGTTTCTAGTGATGGACAGTTCTCCGCAGCCCTCTATGAAATATATCAAATGTCACCTTCCCACTTTGTTTAAACACCTACCTAACATCTGCCCTGTATTTGTATCTTTCAGCTTTTTATCTTACTGCATCCTCCTCTGCTGCATCAGAGGCATCTTCTTCACCATGTTTTTGTTTCTGATGTAGACAGACTGACATCAGATTTTACCTCCTTGTGCTTAAACAGAATAATCTGGGCTCCTTCACTTCCTTATCCCAAGGGCTCTGACCCAGCCACAGCAACAGTGCTGCTTAGGGGCTTGTCCCTGCATTGCCCATTCCATCTTCTCAGCTCCAGAGCAAGAGAAGACTCTGAACTGCCACCCCTTGACAACCCTGCTGTTGAGATATTTCTTTCTAGTCCTGGTGGTAATTCACAGTGGCAGAAGCTGCTGTAGTGGGGGTGGGATCGTCAAACATAGCAAAATAAGTTGGGGATCATAGGGGTCTTCTGGTCATTAATCTGTATCCTGAGTGACCAGTGAGCACAGGAACTGGACGCAGATCTCCAGTGCCTATCTGTGACAGATTCAAAAGTGACATCACCTTGTGCCTCCTTACATAGTCAAGGTTGACATACTTTTTTAAGCTTTGGCATCACACCAACAACTGACATTAACTTATCTATTGTGAGTTTAACCAAGGTCACAGCTGAATAAACTCTAAGGAAGAAAAGCCCAACCCAAATCTTTGCCTGTAGTTTTGTGTTATTTTTAAATGTTACTGCCAATCATCCCCTTTTCAAGGCAGTGGAGACTGAGTGTGGAACTACAGCCACGACCTTTGGAATCTAATACAAAATCAATTCCCATGTGTCCAGACCTTCAGTAGATCATCCCAGCAATGATGCTTTTGGCTTTTGTGGCTCCAGGCCTGTTTTCTTTTCACCACCTCTAGGAGAGGAATCTCACTGTTGTCTCGGGGGCTCATTAGGCTCAGTCAAGTGATTTTAGGATTATTGATGCAAAACATAATGTTTTATTGCTTACTGTCAGAGAATGAATGTCAGAGCCTATTATACTTCCTAGATGGATTTATTACAAAGAGTGAGTTTACTCCATAGAGTAAACTTATTCCATTTCCCCATAAAGACATTTTTTAAAAACACTGAAAAAAGCTTACATGCGTCCAACGGATGTGAAGAGTCCTGCCAGTGTTAACACATTAAGAGCCAGAGCTTGCTATCTTTGAAGTCAGTGGATGCTTTGCTTTAGAGTTAAAAGGGGGAAGTGGAAAGCAAAGCATTAGATATCACAGTGAAGTTTCTCTTTTATATTACGGTATGTTGAAAACTGCCTGTCTGCACACTGCTTCCAAATAGATGTAAAGGCCACATTCCTCAGGCAGATGAGGCACACGAATTGTATTGAGGAATTGCTTCTCATTAGGTCTTTTATGTGGTTTGGGTTTTTGTTGTTGTTTGGTTTTTTTGGGGGGGGGTGTGGGGTGTGGGGTGTGTGGAGGTGATGAGATGCTTTTTCCAGAGACCTACAGTTCACTGGGAAAGTTCTTGGTTTTGCTCCATTCTCTGCTGAGGTTGGTCTTTGGAATGGAAGGGGAATGCACAGGCAGTGATCTCAACCCCCACAATGAATCACATTTGGTACAGCAGACTATGGCATTCATCATCATTGCTCCTCTTTGTTTTTGCTTTCCTTGATCAACAGTGGAATATTTAAACCAAGTTGCTCTAAAGTGCAACACTTGACACTGACCTGTTTTCCAGTATGTCTGCAAATTTAGGCATATATTTTTGCATGCCAAGTATAAACTGAGATGGCAATCTAAACAGGGTTGACTTTTTTCAATTCCATTTTATGTGTCTTCTGATCCCCAGGGAAAATTTATTTTCTGTACTGCAAAAATAATCTGAATTGTTAAGTTCTTCAAAGCCACATAGAACCAACTGGCCACAGTCTTAGGTGTTAGATACAATTAAAAGTTGTGTGAGTGTAGGAGGCATAAATAGTTGATCTACAGTTATGCAGAAAATTTCATAGAATCATAGAATCATGGAATGGTTTGGGTTGGAAAGGACCTTAAGATCATCTAGTTCCACCCCCCCTGCCATGGGCAGGGACTCATCACCCCAGACCATGTCGCTCAAAGCTCTGTCCAACCTGGCCTTGAACACTGCCAGGGATAGAGCATCTACCGCTTCTTTAGACAACCTGTTCCAGTGCCTCACCACCCTCACAGTAAAGAACTTCTTCCTTATGTCTAACCTGAACTTCCCCTGTTTAAGTTTAAACCCATTATCCCTTGAAAATGGAGGTTATATTTCCCTTTTTGCAGTCTTTGGGAACTTCACCTGCCTACCATGATTTTTCAAATATGATGGACAGTGGCTTAGCAACTTCATTCACTACCTCCTTCAGGACCCGCGGATGGATTTCAAAACAAACCACCAAAGTCTTATATTTGTGGGAAGACCAGGACCATACTGCCAAATCTAAAAATGTTCAACTTTTTTCTAGCATCTGTTAAAAAATTTCCCCAGCACTGCGTGGGCTACAAATTATGATAACTGTGTTTCTTAGTTTCCTCTTAAAGATATGACTCAGATACTAGGTAGAAGCTTAATTATTGGTCACATGCATTCTTTTAAATATAAATGTTCATGTAAATGTTCAACAGAGCTCTTCAGAGTTGTTAAAATATTATTCAGTGTGTTTAAATTTGTACCTAAATAATTTAAGAATACTTGGCACAGTCAGTTTCTTAGATGCTATGAAATCTGAGAACCCTTAATTCTGCATCTTCCATGTTCATGGAGAAGGATTTGTCTGCCTTGATGCATGCTTAATTATATGTCTTTTACTTACACAGCTTTCCCAGAGATAACAGTGTCACACGATATTGCTGTTAATTTTGCTTGAATGAAGAGTAAAAACTGAGCCCTTATATTTGTTAAAATTATTTGTGAAGATTTTGGGTTTTTTCCCAGCAAATCAGAAGGTTTTGCTGTGGTTTCCAGTTCCCTCTCCAGTGAAGTCATCTTTTGCTTTAAATCCACTGTATGTGCTGTATTTTTAAGGTTTGATGGCACTACATAATGCTAAGCTGGTACGGTTTGAACCATCATTCATTTTGACATCATTTGGTTACTTTTCGTAATACCCTTGCAATGATCAGTAGATCAAAAGACACTCAAAGGGAGAAAGGCTGGCACTAACATAGCTGTTGTAATACAGGATGAGCTCAGTGTTCCTGCTGGAGTTGTCTCTCATCTAGGCAAGTCCTTTAAATCAGTCAACTTCTTTTTCATCTGTGGTTTCATTTCTTCATTCTTATGCATGTAGGCCAAAACTATTGTTTTCTTTTTAGTTCCAGCATTGCAGAGGAATGTTAAATTCACCCAGTAAGCTGTGCTTGTTTAATCTCTTTTTATAAATGTTAATGCTCTTTCCTTTTCCAGTAGCTTTGGTTTGTTGTATTTGAAATTGGAACATGGGAATCAGGATGAGGTGATATTATAAAACACATCCACATAATAAAATTGATGTTCAGGACAGTAATAAGGATCTTCAGATTACATTTAAACCAGTTGGAAGTAACCTTTTCTAGGAAAATTCTGCCATTTTTTTCTACTTGATAAGAAAAAGACACTGTTTCAGCCTTCTTTCTCATTTTAGGCTGGGAATGGAGTGCATAGTTTGGATGTCAGGAGCGGGACATCTTACCAAAACAAAGAATCCTTGGCACTGTTGTCTGATCAATGACTTCTAAGTGCAGGAGCTGTTGAATTGGAAACAAGTGCTGCAAGATGCCAAGTGAGGTGCTTGAGAGCAGCAGTGGGATGGAGGAGACCATGCAGAAAGAGAGGAGGTCTGGAAGCCAAAGTCCTCGCTGCAGCTCCATGAGGAGGGCTGTAGCAACCACTGTCACTTTTGATGGGGAAGCCACTATGGACCGGAGGAAAAAGAAGAAGAAAGAGTCCCGTCCCGAGTCAATAATAGTGTATCGGTCAGAGAATGAGAATAAGGTGGAAGAAGAACAGGCAGATGAAGGAGGGGAGAGGGGCTCTGAGGAAGGCTCCAAGTTCCTGGGTCAGTCCACAGCAGATGGTATGTATTCCTGGGAGCACCCACTTTCTGTAAACTTTTTTTGATGCCAGCATGCACTGAGGTCAAATGGAAGTGACTGTGGGACCAAACCTCTTGCCCCCAAGTCTGCAGGCAAGGAGAGCTTGAGTTCATACATTAAAATGTCCTGAAATAAAAAGCATTATGGGCTGAGCTGGGTTGTCTCCTGCAATTCATTGCAATTCATTGTTTCCTACAATTCATTGGTTGTTACTGCACTCTTTGTTTTAAATGTATGTGCTAATTGGAGTTGATCCAGAAAAATGCTGAGCGTGCTTTAAGCCAGTGATGCTGTGATCAAGCCCTTCTCCATGCCTAAAACAACTGCCGATTAAGTGAAAGGATGGAAGCAGATGGATTTAGTGGCTCTACCCATGATAGGAAGTTTTACTCATTATCTAGGATTTGCTGTTGCCTTCTGTTTGCAGAAGCACAGCTTCCTCATTAAGAATGATTATTTGGCAAGGTCATTGTGGGGCATATTGGAGCAACTTTCACTTCTGGTGTCTGTCCTGGATCCTCTTGTAGGGAAGAAGTGTGGGAGGCAGGTCCTATGGCTAATCCTTTTGTGAAACAGCAGTGCAGGCTGAGAGGGGTGTAAATGTGAATGCATACCCTGGATCCATCAGCTGCACCAGACTCTCCTATGATCCCAACCTCTATCCTCAGGACTTATCTGCTGCCGCCTTATTTTTGTGGGCCGCTTCAAACTGCTCAGCCTCCGTTTAATAGCCTCTGAAGATCTCCTCCTGAGCTAGTCAGAATTAAGATCAGGAAGAAGCATATTTTAGCCCCATAGAAGAGTTTATGGCTAGTACTACTGCATGGACCATCCTAAACCAATGGAAGCCAAGACAGTCTGTCTGTGACTTTTAACACACATCCCAACACTTTGCTTTTTGGTATCTTCGTTGATGCCTTAAAATGCAAATATAATTATCTGAGAATTTTTAAGTTTTTTCTAGACTTCGACAATCATTTTGGATTGAGACACAGTGCAGATGTAAAGTGAAATACTAGCTATTCAATTATAACTCCATGTGTGGATGTGCTTGTTCTAGAACAGGATTTTTAGTCGTATTTATCTAATTCACCCTAAATGTCCACGCTGTTCAGGAATAAATGTATGAGGGTACCAGAGAAAATAGGCATACCATTTTTGATTCATTCACTCCACCTCATCTCTTTCTCATATATTCCTGCAGCACTCTCCCTTCACACATTTTCCCTAGTGCAGATGCTGGAGTCTTCTTCCTTGTGATTTCTGTCATCTGGAATTCTTGTCTTCTCTTTCATTAGCTTTTCTTCCATTTTCTTCTGTGATAATCTTCCTTATACTGCATTGCTTCTTGCATTCCATCTTTTTAAAATCTTAACTATTACTCCATATGCATTTTCTAATTGTCTTTGGGGTCATTGGGGATTTACACAATAAATCTAATGTAGATAAGTTTGTGTTTGTAGGTGTCTGGAACATGCCTTTAGACAGCCGATATGTGACCTTGACTGGAACAATCACCAGGGGAAAGAAGAAGGGTCAGATGGTGGACATCCATGTCACACTAACGGACAAAGAGCTGCAGGAACTGGCTAAGTCAAAGGAACCTCCTAAAGAGGACGTACCTGAGAAGAGGAAGAAATGTGATGTTGGGCTAGACAGAGGACCCCACATCGTCCTCTGGACCATCATTTGCTTCCCCATCATTTTTGTAGTGTCCTTTGTGGTTTCATTCTACTATGGAACCATTACATGGTATAACATCTTCTTGGTGTACAATGAAGAGAGGACCTTCTGGCACAAAATCACCTTTTGTCCCTTTCTGATCATCTTCTACCCAATTATGATTATGGTTGTGTCTTTTTCCCTAGGCCTGTACTCGGCTGTGGCCCAGGTAGCATGGTCCTTTGGGTACTGGTGGCATGCTGTCAGGGATATGGAGAAGGGCTTCTGTGGCTGGCTCTGCAGCAAGCTAGGTTTGGAAGATTGTTCTCCATACAGCATTGTCGAGCTGTTAGATTCTGATAATATCTCAGGTAGTCTCTCTGGCAAGAGCTCTGCACAGGGGGTTGAGACCTCGGCAGTCTGAGCCTTTGTCCTGGCTGACTATTTTGGTCATATGTAAGTGGTTTTCATCTAAAAATAACATGCTGAATTTTTATAAAGATATATATATATTTAAACACAAACTTAATGAAAAAATATTGGGCTGGGAGTGCTCTTTAAAAGTCACAGAATGCAAGTGTGCTAGTTACATGTGGTCTGGGTGGGGAGGTGCATGGCTCTCCAAGGATTTGCCATCTGTTTTAGCTAATTACAACTTCTAGGAATGGTGAGAAAATCCAGGTCTGCGGCGCTCAAGCTGTTTGTGGCACAGCAGAGAGACATGCTGAAAAATTCACTTCTGTAAAGTTAGACTTTCTTTTTCAGGAGTAGTACATAACAGTGACCTCTTGATCCCATGAAAAGAAGTCCATACTCAGGAGATGAACTTCAGAAGATAAGAACCCATTCAAAGGTGAAGGCTAAATTGCAAGTCAGGTGATGTTCCTGAAGTTTTCCTAAAAAGGGTCCTTTTCCAGTCCTTCCAGCAAGTGCAGCAAACATTTCAGGTAGGCTAACTGCTTAGGTGCTGTCAGAGCGCAAAAAGACCTGGCCTTTCTCTGGGAGAGGACAGCACAGCTTCCAAGAAAGGCACATGAACTCTACACTGAAACACACCCATCACATGATGGAAGGGCTCGCTTTGTAACGTGGTGCATGGGGATGTGACAGGCCTGTCACCAAGCACCCCCAGGTGCACAGATAGGTGCTTAGGACACACCTGCATTTGATTTCTTGATAGGTGCACTGCTAGGGAAGAATAGGCTATGGAAGCTGTATGCAGTGTGCAGTGCCAACATTTGCATTTATAGGGAGGAAACACCTGCTCTGAGGAAGGGTAATCAATCTGTTTCCGTGTCACTGCAATGCAGGTGTGGGCTGGCAGCACCTATGTTTAGGTAGGTGTGGTTAGAATCATGAATCAGCTAGGTTGGAAAAGACCTTTAAGATCATCAAGTCAAACCATTACCCCAGAACTGCCAAGAGTACCACTAAGCCGTATCAACTGTTGAAGGTGCTTGAGATAGGAAGGTCTCACTGAAACAGCTGTTCTCTTTTTCAAGGTGCTCTTACGGAAGAGCTGCTGGACCTTCCCTTTCAGAACAGGGGCATCCCTGAGACCATGTCTGTTAGTGCCAGTGCAAATACATTAGTGCCTCAGCTCTGGAAATCTGCATCCCGCACACACTTCCTGGGTAATTATGTGGAAGCGCAATGGATTATACATCCTCTTCTGCTCATGTCTCATTTTCATAATTAGTTTCCCTCCTTTAGGACTTTGCATGGCATCTTAGTGGGCTCCCAGACTAGGCTGAAGTGACCACCATAGACTGGAGAAATTTTAATTGTCCCTTTAAAAAAATGACTAGCAGAAATATTCATTTTCTGTTGTGGCCTAAGGAGGACATGAGGAAAATGAGAGAGGTAGAAGAGACTCTAATGGGGACTGAATTACACATCTGAAACATGATTAATTTTCTGAGTGCTGCAGTTCAGCTGGTACTGCTACAAAGCCTGGCTCAGCTCCAACCCAGAGGAGCCCACCATTTGCATGTGTGTAGGTAGAGAATTCATAGTGTGCTATCAGGCTGCACAGTCCCTCATGTCTGTACAGGTGTTTCGCTTCCCCAGTCTCCCTATCAAAGGCAGAGCTGCTCTAGTTTTAGGATGGTAGAGAAGCATTCAGAAGCTGGGTTTGACAGGAACTAATGCTTTGTGTTGTATTCCAAGGATGAGCTTAAGACTACACTGACTGACTGTCCTGGTTAGGACATCCGGGAACTGATGATGTATAAACAAGTCTGTCTGATCCCCTAGGCCTGACACAGAAATAAGTAAAGTCCCTGCTACACCCTTGGTCTGTCCCCTTCTGGGAGGTCCAGCCAGAGCAGCCTCTTTAGCACTGTCTTGAGGATTAGCAGTATGAATAGTTATAGCCAATAGTGATTTGCTAAATATCAAGAGCAGGTTTGGCCCTACACTTTACTAGCAAAGCAGAGGTGCTCCCTGGGAATGGGTACAGCCAGACTCTGTTTGCTGCCTCCTGATACACAGCTTTAATTTTTCTGTGGCTAAATTTTTAAAAGCAATGACCAACTTCAGAAAAAAAACAAACCAAACCAAAAACCCCACAAAACAAAACAAAAAACCGCAACATAAAATAGACCCCAACTTACTGGCGGGTAATTCAGTGGGGTTCAAAAAAGCTGACGTATGCCTGGGTTCAAGCAGTGAAATGCCTTTCACATGTTTCAATCAGGCTTGGTATGCCTCTGAATTAATAGAGAAGCTGAGGATCAGTCATGCCCGTGCTAGCAGTTTGTAGTGACCCAGCACAGCCACTCTACTTAATACTTTTCCACATGAAAATCACAGGCTCCCAGATCGCCAGAGGGTGGGAAGAAGTGATGCTTAACAAACACTAATGGGAAGGAAGGCCCACTGGCAAGTGTTCTCACGCTTTGCCTAGAGGGACACTGCTGGCATGAAAGGAGTGGATTGTGTATCTTGGCCCCAACATGCAGCAAACAAGTGGGTTTGGGGGAAGGATGGCTGGCAAATGTGCATTGCTGTAGAGGGAGAAAACCCAATTCAGCTGTCACTGCCAAACAGCAGCTGTTCAAGGCTAGACGGAAGGCTGGGGTCAGTAGCACAAAGAGTCTTCAGCTTACAGAGGGCTTGAATGATAAATACTAGCTCATTACAGAATACAGCCATGTGAAATGTCTGCTGAGCTGCAGGATTTGCTTTCAGGATTGCAAACAGCCTGCCAGAGTGGAGTCAAAACCAAACCTGTGCCTCTTACTGCTATGTAGACACAAAGGAGTGTTAGAGAAGTCGTAGTACCCTCCCTCTGCCATGGCAGCTATGCTTCTGGGTTTGGAGGCCACCTTTTTGGGGATATACTGGGACAATCCATTTTGTGTCTTCTACTTCTTTACACTTAACCAAGCTTGCCTCTGCTCCTGCTGATGTCAAGGTATTCTGACATTGATTTTGGTGGGGACTAGTTCAAGCTTGGGGTTAGTTCTGGTGCTATTTGTAAAAGTTTTATTCCAACTTTTCTCAAAACAACTGGATAGCTTTGTTTTCTCTCTTGCCCATTATCCTCTGAAGTGGTTTGCCTGCTGCAAAATATATAATCATTATCAATTGTTGTAATAGAAAAAAGCACAAGTTTTTGTCTTGTTCTGCTTTTAGAAACTCACAAATAATTTTTGCTTATGTGCCACTGTCAAACTGCAGGGAATTCCAGTTATTCTGATATTGAGTATGTTTCTGGCTGCTCTAGTCTGGATGAGTTGTTCTGGTTTTTTTTAAGTAAAGGTAGTGTGTGTTTGCTGATTGTTATTTTAATTGCATTCTCTTTTCCCATCCTCGCTGGCCTGGGTGGAGAATAAAGATGTACGTGGCTTTAGAAGAGTGTTGCTTTCATGCTTCTGCTTGATTTTGTGTTAAAAATGGTGCTGTGGGATGGGCACAGTCATCCCATACTGATAATTGATTAAAAGTCATTAACTTTGAAGACCCACTTTAAAGTGTGGCTAAAATTGGTCTCAGTTTTACCTCTTACTAACCTTTGCCTGTCCAGAACTGCCATATCTCTTGGCTCTGGATTATTCTTTGGTTTTACTTCATAATGCACAAACAAAAACTTTTTAATTTAATTTCACTCATGAGTATCTGTTTGGCTTTAGCTTCAAGGATCTGGAGGGAAGGACACACTTCTATACCAAAATAGGAAGTATATTTAACTCTACAAATATGGTCTGTGTGGCTGTGACTTTGAGCTGCTATTTACAGCTGTGCTGGGAAGATTTCTTATAACCCCTTAGTATTCCAGACATGTCTCTGATAAGTCAAAGGGGAATCGCTCTTAGAGCTGAAAGGCTACCTGCAGGTGACTTCCTCCAACTGGTAGTGCCACATCCAACACAACAGTTGGAAATACCAGGTGCTTATTGTGTGATGCCTGGTGCAAATATTGGCAAGGGAACAGGATTGCCTGCATGACGGATGTACCCTGGGGACTTCCTGCCTCCAGTGAAGAACCTGGTGAAGGACACCCAACTTGCTATATGGCAGGGTGGGATGGAGGAAGTGGACCCAGAGGATTAGCTTATAAGCCTTTCCAGTCTCACCTTTGAGGTACAAGGTAATCATTTTATAAGATAATGGTTGGCAGTGGGAAAGACTGCTATTGAAGACCTTTGCACCAGGCAAAACACACCTGTATGACCGTATTAAGTATTTCACCAGTAGCCTAATTCTGCAGGCTGACTTACCCATCCCATTCAGTTTCTCCAGGAGCTGAAATGACAGTGTGAACTGTGATTTGGGCCAGTGCTTTGAATCCTGAGGTTGAGATACTGCAATTCGTCACTCTGAGACTATCAGCAGGGGCTGCCGCATGGATCTGTGTGGCCAACCCCAGGGATACCTTTAGAAGCTGCAACAGTAGTTAAGAAAACCACTAGTCTGTTCTTGCACACTGAAGCCTGCAATTACACTAGCATTAAAGAGAGAAAATAAGGATGCACAGCCCTCATTCCTGCACTGTGATGGACACAATTTTGCTCAAAGCTTATGCAAGCCCCTTTTGTCCCAGGCAGTGAATTAGCTGTTGGACCAGTGCCCTTCCTGCTTCTTTTTAAAGATTTTTCAATGTGATGTAAGATGGTAATATTAAGGCAGATTTGTTTCTGAATAGATTAGTCCATCCAAATTTATTCCCTGAATGGAAATGGGAACTTAGGGAGAGATAGGTTGAAGCAAAGGCAGGGGGCTAATCCGCTTGGAAATGTAACTTTCCAATTAATATGGCAAATTAGAAGGGACATCATGTTTGCTTGCCTTCACTACTAGAGGATAATTTCTCTTCTGACAGGCAACCATTTAAAGATAAGAGAGGGCTTGTGATTGTGTGTTTGATTAGGGTAAATTGCCAGGGGGTTCAAAAAGCCCCCTAGGCATCCTTTCACATAA